GAAATGACAGTTCACAATCAGAAAAGAGACACTATGAAAAGTAGACAAATTAACTTAGGAAAGCACAGAAATGAGGGTGAGAGACCATCACATTTCAGTAACCAATGAGCAAAACTATATCACAGGACAGGATAATAATTGGCTTCAAAATGATGACACTGCATGAAGGTAAAGATGTCTCCTCTGTTTAAGAGGACGCGGCAGAAAGTATAATTCCCTTTGAAAGAATTTGGGGAAATAATACTTGCAAATAAATAATTAAAACCCTCCCCCCCCAATTTTAGTGCTTAAAGGAGCAACATTATTATTTTTTTATTTGAATTTTATTTTATTTATTTAATTTTTATACAACCAGGGAGCAAGATTATTATTATTAATTTATATGGATTCTGTGTCCTTTGAGGAAGTTGGATAAATGATACTTGCTGTGCACGTGCAAACACGTGTCATATCAGTTATATTTACCTCGATTTTCATATTTGACAAAACACTTCTAGTTTCTTCTAAGAGCATAGAATCAGCAGTGAGAAGGAATACACATTTGTTTTAAATATTGTGATCGCAATGAAGCAGGACATTGATTTTTTCCACACCTCAGCTCTGTGATTCAGGTAAATTACTACCTATGTGGACATCACTTTCCTTACTCATAAGTAGGGTGGCAGTGAGATTCGTCAGCATAAACGAGCGCCCAGCACAGGGCCTGTGAGCGTGGTGGCACCAGCTTGCCTGGCCAGCCAGAGCCCGTTATACACTTCTCTTCCCAACTCGGTGTCCCGTGACTGCATGTGGGTAGCTTGAAGTCAGCCACGGTGGGCGCGTTTACACCACAGACGTGGGCAGATCAGACAAGGCCTTTTTTCCTGGAGAGTGAGTTTTTAAACGTTTCCTAGCTTGCCACAGGTGCGCCCTCAGCCTCTCTTCATTCCTGCACCCTTGCCTCTCCCTGACGTCATGTTTGTCGTCTGAGTTGCTCTATGTGCTTTGCTCGAATCCAGCTTGCATCAGAGTCACTGGAGAGCTGGTTACAATACGTACTGCTGGGTCCTGCTCCTAGACTGTCTGATTTAGTCAGTCTGGAACGGGGCCCAAGAATTTGCATTTCTAACACTGACATTGCCGGTGCAGGAACCGAAGTATGAGACACTGGTCTAATCTACTAAACTGGAGTCTACAGTGCAAAGTGTAGGGCACAGAAGAGATTCCCATCTTCTGTCTCAGACGATGGCATGACAAATTCTATGAATACTCACCTAGTTCTTGGCACATATACCATCAGATTTAATCTCCTTAAGAACCCTAGGAAGTAATCATTACTATTTTAACACCCGTTTTATAGATGGGGAAACTGAGGCTCAGAGGGATTAAGTAACTCACCCAGGGTCACACAGCTCATAAGCAGAGAAGCCAAGTTAAACTCAGGTCCTCCCACTCTGGGGCCATTGCATTCGTGGTACAGACTGTAGGAAGCTCAGTGGTGAGTAGAGGCTGGAGTCAGGATGCCCAGCTGTGCACCCGCAGGGCCACATCAGCCCGGGGGTGCCTTTTTCTTACCTGCCTTAAGGTGCTGTATGGGCTTAGCAGTGGCGGTGTCCAAATCCATACCCTCTGCTCCCTTCACTGCAACCCCTGGAGTCTCTAAACTGGTGGGAAGGCAGAGCAAGTGGGGGAGACAGAAAGCACAGAGAGAGGGCCACGGAAAGACATTATTTGAAGCATAATCAAGCTGGCACATGTGGGCATGTGAAAGAGGCTTACAAAGCTGCTGTTTCTGCAGGAGGTTTGGGGGCAGGCGTCAGCGGGGTGGAGCAAGGGAATTTGGCTGGAGACAGAGCCACAGATTGTCGGTGATGAGCGCTGTATCTCCTGCCCACCCCTGGCACGTGTGTGGCATGGAAGATGCCCAGTGGGTGGGGCAATTAGCCTGTATCCCAGGGCGTCTGGCTCTGTCTCCTGCCCTCCTTCCCACTGCCTTTCCTCAGTTAGATTGCTCCGGGTAATAGCTGCCAAAGCCGCTTTGTTGGATCTGATGAGTTTATTAATTTCTTGGGGGCTAATGGGAGGGTTGGTGGGACATTCATTTCCTGACTGGAGCTTGGGGTCTGATTTGTCTTTTTGCCACATCCCCAGAGGTGGGTGTGGGAGGCGACATGGCTCAGGCTGTCGGATCTCGGTCTGGGTAAATCATTTTTATCTCTGGCTTTTGTGGCAACCTATCTACCTGGTGGCTTGGGTCAGACAGGGAGTCTGGAGCTGGGGCAGGCAATTAGTGAGGATTGGGTCCCCTGAGAACAATGGGGGTGAGAAATTCGGGGGGAGTAGGGGGGCGAGGTCTTGCTGGCCCTGTCGGTGTGAAGTGCGTGTTTAGATGACAGGACTCAGAAGTTCAGTCCTGTCCCAAACATCCAGATGCTGACATCCGGCCTAATTGTTCTTTATGTCCTTCTGTCCTTCTGTCCAAATCTGGCCCTTCCTATCCTAGTAGACTGTCAGAAGCCAATTCTAGCCATTTTGAAGAGAGGGAAGCAGCCTCATTTCACCTGACTTTGTGGATGTAAAAACCCAGGAGGGAAAAAGCCGTGTCCAGGGTTCTTGCTGTGTGGCCGAGACTCCCTTGAGCCTTTCTCTGGTTGGCCAGGCCTGCTTATGTGGAGGAGCCCTTGGCATCCCCGCCCAAGAGACGGCAGCGGACACGGAAAAGCCTTGGATTTAGGAGTCAGACAGCTCTGTGTTCAAGCCCGTGCATCACCTGCTAGCCAGGTGACCTTAGGCAAATCCATTAAACCTCTGAGCCCCAGTTTCCTCGTACATAAAAGCATCATCACTGCTTCACGAGGCTGGTGGGAGAATTCAAAGAGATGATAGAACACACCCAGCGCAGGAGGGGTCCGGTAACTATTGCTCTCCTTTCCCCTTCGCTTGAGAATCTAGCTGCCTATCCCTCGTCTTACCCATCTGTCTCCCCTGCAGAGAGAGAGGAGGAGGATAAGCTCAGTCCGTACCCTGACCTGGCTGGTCCCCACTGTGGGCCCTCCAGAGACCAGAGGACGCTTGCCTACCTCCTACCGACAGCAGCACTCAGCCCAAGTGATGGTTTCCCCCGCCTCCAAGTACTTGTCCTGAGCAGGGCGCCGGGCTGTAAGCATGAGCAAGCCAGCCCCTCACAGGCTAGCCGGGGAGGTGGACAAGTAAACAAAACATGCAGTGGGACACTGGAAGAGCCAGGCAGGAGAGCCATGAAGGCTTCCTTGGGGAGACTCATCCAGGGTTACGAGCCCAGGGGTTAAAGCTCAGGCGTCTCAGCTGATGGGGAGGTGACCTCGGGCAAGTTGGGTGGGCTCTTATCTTGGCGTCAGTTTCTTTATCTAGATGGGGCTTCCGGTGTGGATGTGCAGAGGACCCGACCTGTAAACTAAAATGAACAGGGGCACGTGCCTCACTTTTCTGCCCACGCAGAGGTGAAGAAAGCTGCCCAGCCCCCTCCGGTGGCGTCCTTGCTGAGGCTTGGAGAGGGGTTTTTGGTCATCTCTCCTTTGGCAGGTGAAAGACTCACCTGGGGAGACCATCGGGCTCCTGCCTGGACATGGAGGCATCCAGCCTGGCCCTCCCCGCTTCAAGGTCCAGACCATGACGTCAGGGAGATGGTTACTGCCCCCTGTGACCCCCAACGCTCTGGCCCCGGGGGAGGGGGTTGGGGACCAAGAGTGAGACGTGTCTTTATTGTGGTTGGAGCTTCCACAAGAGGAACCCAGAGCCCAGCTCTGGTGGGTAGAGCCATGTGGCATCCATGGAACTTGTGAGGGTTTTCCAGGGAAGCTGCCGCTGGTGCCTGGAGATGCCTGGCAGAGGCGTATGTGTACATTTCATTGGTTTTCTAGCCAGCTATCAGCCGTCTCTCCTGGTGGCCCACCTCCAGCACCCAGCAACAGAAATGAGTTGCCAGGGGCTCCAGCTAGTAGAAATGTATTGGTAGCACACACATGTATGTGTAGTTATAGAAAGGGTTCCACTGCGAAAACAAACAAACTCTCTAAAATCCCAATGATGCTGAATTTCGATTAAGGTGACTTTCTGAAATGGGGGAACTGAGTAAGTTGTGGATATTTTACCCCCTAGGAGTCAAGACAATGGGGAAAAGGAAGGAAACTAGCATTTATTGAGTTTCAGCTTAAATACATTCTCACAATGACCACATAATGTTTCTATTATTCCCATTTTACAGATGAGGAAATACCTTCAGAGAGGTTCAGTCACTTCTGGGTTTACTCAGTGGAGATCCACGCTCCTGGGTCTGGCTGAACAATGTAACCTCGAACTGGCACATGCACGATCTCAGCTGGCCCTGAGAAGAAGGCAGAGGAAACGTTACTGCCTCCATCTATAGCTGGGGAAACTGAGGCTCGCAAAGATCGAAGTAACTTGCCTAGGTTCTCGCAGCCAGCAAAGTGAATCCACCAGGACTAGAGCCTGGTCTTCCTTCCCTCTTCTGGTTCATCCATCCATTGAACCATTCAGCAAACATTTATTGAACAGCCTAGTAAAGGCCAGTTCTCTCCAGTAGCCATTCTGGTTCTTATTTAGATAATGAGGCTTATTGAAGGCAGACTGTAGCGAAAGGGAAGGCTCTGTCCTGCCTCCAGATGATGCAATTCCAGGGGCTCGCTTCCCTTCTGGGTGAGAGAGCATCCCTGAACTGCGTTGCATTCCTGATTTCTTTTTCCATTTTCCTCTTCCACCTCCCTCTTAAGTCTTCCCCTCCCCTCGCAGTCTCCCCACCCACCCCTGACCCCCCAACCCTGGTAGCTCCGCCCCGGTCCCGCCCCTCTGCTCTGCACTCTGCATCCCTCCCTCCTTCTGTGACGTACATGTACCCCCGCCAGAGGCAGGGGACCGGCCTCTCAGCTCCCCCAGCCCCGGAGGCCCGAAGGACCTCAGCACCCCAGCTCCCCAGCCTTCTCCTGCCCCCACCCCTTCCCAGCCTTTCTCCTTGGTCTCCTCAGATTGGCCAGTGGCACGTGTCAGACGGCCTCAGCATGGACAGCCACCTCTACGCCTCCAACGTCTCCGACAGTCTCTTCAATACCACCCTGGTCGTCACCACCATCCTGGTAAGCGGGTGCCCCCTGGGCCTCCCAGCTGCCACTCTCCGGGGTGCCTCCTCCATCTCTAGGCATTCCCAGCCTCCCCGTGAACAGAAGATGGGAGCTCTGATCACAGCACGGAGGCCAATTTATGACAGTGTAATTAAACTCAAGTTGTTGTTTTATATGGAAATGATATCTGATGAGTTCCAAAGCAGCTGGGGAAGCAGGATGGGGTGGCAAGACAGCACAGTTTGTGGATGCCTCTTCCAGGGGCACCCTGACAGCCAGGGCAGCTGTGCACAGCCAAGGGCAGGGCACCTAGGACACGCGGGAGAAGTCCCCCAGGGTGGCTCCTACTCTTTCACGACAGCCTGCTTCGCTTGGTGCCTACTTGTGCGAGTCGCATCCCTGGCAGTGGACACCTGAATCTCAATGGGCTTTCATGGCCTATTTCATTTCCAGTTGATCAGAAGAAAGTTCTAAATCTATGGAGCGCGGGACCACCTGCCTGTTTTATTTGATTCAGTTCTCTTCGACAATCAACAAGCCCTTCCCCCATGTGCCAGGCACTGTGCTCATTCTTGGAGACACGGAGCTGAGTGAGACTCAGTCTCTGTCCTCAAACAGGCTGTAATGTATTGGATGGCGCGAATCCAGTGCGTTCACGGCCAAAGCCACCTTCTTCCCCCCTCCCCCCATCCCTGAAAACTTCAGGTTTTAAAAGATTTGTCCATTAACCAACTGCATGTGTTAAGTAATTATTACTTTGCCGCCTTCCCCCACCTTCTTTTAACCAATCAAAAACCTATTTCCCTGCCGGGCCCAGCATCTTATCCCCAGGAGATAATCAGTGTGGCTGCACTGATGGAATCCCAGCCCCAAAGAGACTCGACTGTTTGCCTGTTCAGCCTATTGTGCTGTTGCTAACTGTGCAAGGTTTGGAAACGTGTCCATTTCTTTCAGGCTTTCGAGATGATAAAAAGAGCTCAGGGACCTCCATCACTACATTCATGAACTCCTGGGGCTCAGGAGCCCTGCACTGAAATAACTGATACCCCGTGAGCAGAGCAGGATAAAAGCCAGGAAAGAGGCGCACGCCTAGCGCCATGGGGGGTGAGCGAGAGAGAGGTCCCATGCCATCGGGGAGGTCAGCAAAGCCTTCCGAGGAGAGGGACATTGAGGATGGGCCCCCAAAGACAGGGCTGATGAGGAGGGAGACGTGGAGTAAGGAGAGTGTTGTCTGGCACTCAGGAAATGCCAAAAAGTGCAGGTTTCTAGGAGATGTGCATTGGTAGAGAGGGAAAGGCCTGAGGCTGGAGAAGTGGGCTGGGCCCATAACGCTTAGGGACTCGAATGTCAAGCTGGTGAGTTTTCTCTTCATTTGGTACGAGACAGACGGGGGGGGGTGGGGGTCACCGAATATTTTCAGTCATTCATTCAGTGAATATTTGGGGGGGCACTCCTCTGTGCTGGGTGCTGTTCTAGGTGCTCGGGTGTAGACAGAGCTGAGGAAGGGGAGAGGGGTTGCTGGCTTCACTGAGAAAGGCAGATCCGAGTAGAGACCTGATGAGGTGAGGTGACAACCACGTGGCCGTCTGGGAAGGAACATTCCAGGCAGAGGGAACAAAGCAAAGGATGGAGAAAGCAGTTCCAGCTCGCAGGGTTTTAGCCACTCCCCATCTCAGCCCAACCTGAGCCCATCTGAACCAACGTGGAAATGTCAGCAGGATTTGGGGGTGGGGGGTGTGTCACCAAGCCCCTGAGACCTGGGAGCGCCTGGCTGAGCTGCAGCGACGCTGACCGGCAGTCCTGGCCGAGTGGGGGCAACACGTGCACGATTGCTGGGACCTGCTCTGCCTCTGAAGGACTTCCTGAGTCTGTCACCTGCTGTCCATCCTCAAGCATGTGCCCTAACATAGGTGTAGCCACCTCTTGACTGGAGCTGCGTGTGGCCTCCTCAAAGGCCCCCTTCTCACTTGTTCAGTCTGTCTATCCCTAGCCCCGCCCTTCTGGCTGCGCGGTCTTTCTAAAATCAGAACCGTCCTGTCATTTCCTCACTTCAGTGCTGCCCAGGAGCGACTGGCCATGAGCTTGGAATATAAACCCCTTGTCATGAAGCCCAGCCTGCTGTACCTGCTTCCTCTCCATGCCACGTGGGGTCTGGCAGCACTGGACTGCCTGACACTTCCTCACTGCGTCATGCTGTTCCCTGCCTCTGTACATGCTGTTCCCTCTGCCTGGAATACCCTCTCTGTGAATTCCTGTTTCCACCTGGAAATACTTGTACAGCCTTCACAGCTTGGCTCTGATGTCCCCTCTTCCGTGAGGTCTTCCCTCATCTGCCTCCTGCCTGCTCCCTGCCTCTCACATTTTGTACACACCTTTCTCCTATTAGAGTTGGCGTTTACAGCTCTACCTCCCCTTCCAGAATGAGGGCTCTTTAAAGACTGGGGGGCCTGACACGAAGTAGGAGCCTGATAATTACAATTTTCTTTTCTTTTTCTTTTTCTTTTTTTTTTTGGCTGTGTTGGGTCTTCGTTGTTGTGTGCGGGCTCTCTCTAGTTGCGGTGAGTGGGGGCTACTCTTCGTTGCGGTGCGCGGGCTCCTCATTGCGGTGGCTTCTCTTGTTGCGGAGCACGGGCTCTAGGCATGCAGGCTTCAGTAGTTGTGGCACACGGGCTCAGTAGTTGCGGCACGTGGGTTCAGTAGTTGTGGCACATGGGCTCAGTAGTAGTGGCTCGCGGGCTCTAGAGCACAGGCTCAGTAGTTGTGGCGCACGGGCTTAGCTGCTCCGCGGCATGTGGGATCTTCCCGGACCAGGGCTCAAACCCGTGTCCCCTGCATTGGCAGGCGGATTCTTAACCACTGCACCACCAGGGAAGTTCCTGATGATTAGAATTTGAATGAAGGAATTTCTTCCTACAGGGTCAGAGATGTCCCTCAAAAGGCAGTTTAGAGTTTGAGAGAGAAGTGGGGACATTGCCGGGTTGTACTTCTTGCCTTTCCGGGACTGGGATTGGACGGGGCTCAGAGCTCCGGCACAGACCCCTGGGGACACTGAGACTGCAGGGTCATGTTTCTAGACTGGGAAAGTCAGTCTGACCCTGTGTGTGCCTGTGTGTGAGTGCATGCACGCACACGGTTGTTCACATATGCACACGTGTGTGCTCATGAGGGTGGGGAAGGACACTTTTGTGAAAGGGAACATTTAAAAACATGGCCAGTACGATTCAAATGAGAACCTTCTCTTGTGCATGTGTGTAGAAGTCAGTAACTCTTACCAGGAATGATTACCTCAATTTAGTCCCTGCTGGCCATTTGGGGGAACTCCTTGGCAAACGGCCATCTGAATGATTTATCCCTTAAAACTCAGCACACAGGCCTGTTGCATCCTACTCCTGTCAGGGTGCAGTTGGGACTTGTGAGTGATTTATTGGTTAACACCGGCAAATACACAGAATTAGCCGCAGCTCCCACCCCTAGAACACACCCCTGCATCAGAACCCGAGTTAAGCACTTTGTCCGCATCACCGCCTGCCAGGACAGGGCTCCAGACCAGCACGCGGCCCCCAGACCCTCCAAAGTGCCAGTGAGCATCGCCCCTTCCCACACGGTTCCTCCCTCCAGCACCGGCCTCCTGTTTATTTACTCTAAATATGTCAGTGAATTTTAAATTAACTTAAGTGCAGAGAGTTCTCGGGGAAGAGAGTTTTGTGACACTCCTTGGGATCGTTCAATATACCCTGGGAGGTTGCCTTCCAGCCCAGGCGTGGAAATGCCCAGCCAAGCCCTGTCAGTGAGGCCATTTCAGCACTTTTCACCCACACAATCCACAAGTGCTGGACGCTGGGGCCAGGTGAGGGCCCCAGAGACAGGGAGGAGTCCGTCCCAGGCTCCACGTACGTTCTGCCTGCGAGCCGGCACGTGTAGGAGGACGAAAAATGAGTGTGTGGAGGCCTGGCTGCGAGTGCGGTAGGGGTTCTGAGAAGTGGGTTGGGGTCAGAGGTGGGATGGGACCCCAGGGACAGAGATGAGTTAGGTTAAGCAAAAGCAGGACAAAGAGAGGCCCGTGAGCTGAGGACAGCGTGTGTGGAAGTCAGGGAGCTTGGCCCCATTTCACGGACACGACAGCGCACTTGACCATGAACCAGAAGCACGTCACCCTCAACTTGGAGGTCCCTCTCCCTGGCACGGAACCTCCGACCTTCCCCTCTTCCGCTTCATCACGCCCACAAGACTGCTCCTCCCCCTTCCTCCCTTTGCGACCTCTGGCCTCTCTGGCTGCCCATCTTCCCCAGCCCAGAAGCCCCTTCCAGCTTGAGCTCAGCAAACCAGCAGTTCAGCACTTCCCTCTGTTGGCTTCTAGAATTGACTCCACCGTGAAGCTCAGCCATTTCCCCTCCTGCCCATCCCCGAGTCCAACTGTCCTTGCAAGCCCTGCTCCCAGCTGTCCATCTGCATTCAGCCTCCTGACTCAGCTGGGCCTGGGCAACCCTGCACTCCTCTCTGCTCACCCCACATCGTGTTCCCTGAGGAAACCTTTCCAGGCACCGAGCCTTCCCTCCTACCTGCCCCCAGCTCTGGGGGCTGGCACGGCTCCGTACCTTGGGCCTCCTCCGCGCCCCCTCTGTACCCACACCCATGCTCTCCGCCTTACCCCCAGGCCCACTTCCCATGTTCACCTAGACCCTGGCTCTCCCGGGACTTTGCTGCACTGACTAGCCTTCTCTTTCTTCCTTTTCTAATCTGCCCTTTTCCAGGGATTCCTCCCTTCGTACCTACACATGTACTCTGGTCCCTCCTATCCTAAGACACCATCGCTACCTCCTTACCTACACCCTGCTGCCCTTGGGCTACCCTCCTATTTAGGGAATCATCCATCAAGGGATTGGTGGATACTGGGCATCCTTCAAGCCTGTTGCAGGCAGAGGGGGAACTGAGGTTTGGAGCGAGACGTGACCGGTAGCAGCTGGGTGGAGAAGCTCTGCCAGCTTTTGTTTCTGAACTTCTCAACATCCTGGTCGGCCCTCACCCGTGCACCTCTCGTGCACACCCGTCCTTGCGGAGTTCTGCCATCCCCTCCCCCCTCCCCACCCCAACCTGCCTTCGAAAGTCTCCAGGGACACGTGACCCAGATGCCCTTTCACAGCCCTGCTTCCTCCCTTTGTGGGAATGTCTGCCTTCTCCTGCTTGAAACCCTTCCCTCCTTGACCTTCATGACCACATTTTCCTGATTGTTGGCTTTTCTGGCCGCTTCTGCGTTGTCCTCCTCTACGGCTGCCCTTCATTTTCCCCCTCCCTAAGATCAGGTCTGTCCCTCTGCTGTCCTTCCCCCCGATGGTCCCTCATATGCTGCAGCTTCAGCCACCACCTCTGTCCGGAGGCTGCCCCATCTCTGCCCCCGAACCTGCCCTCACCCCATATTCCAACATTCAGTCAGATGTTCCCTCCTGGGTCGATGACCAGCACCTCAGATTCAACACGTTCCAAAACCTCTTCCTTTTCAAAGCATCCATGGCCATGATGACATCATCCTTGGTCATCTGCTCAGGCTCCAAGGGTCTGAGGACCCTCCCCTCTGGGCCTCACACCCAACCTGGCATCAAGCCTGACCCTCTCTGTGATTCTTCAGCTCTGCAATCCAATCTGACCCCAAGCACGGCTCAGGACTCAGCATCCCGTATCAGGAGAGGGTCCGTCCTCACTCCCAGGCCTCTCTCTTGCTATATAATATTCTTTACTCACATCCTTAAGTCTTTAAAACCCTTAGTGCTTCCCTACTATATATGTATGATGCACAGTCACCTCGTCCTGGCACCCAAGGCCCACGCTGACCCTAATTCATCTTTCTAAATTCATCCACCACCCCTCCCCTCCACACAGCCCAGGCTCCCACTCAAGGGCAGCCCCATCATCCACCGAATGGGCCGCACTCCTTCTCACTCGGGATTTTGCCCTTGATCCTGCCTTTCCTCTGCCCATGAACAGCCCTCCATTCACACCACTTCCATCTGTCAGTGTTCTGTCTTCCTCCGGAGCCCAGCTTGCATCCCACCTTCTCCATAGAACTTTCCCTGGACGTTTCACCAGAGAGACCCTCCTCCCAACGCTCACAGCTGGACGCGTCCTGCCTCCGGTTTGCGGTTGTTCTGTGCATGTAAGAATCTCGCTTGCTCTGTTGTCAGCATCCTTGTATCTCATAATCCGCCGTGATCCATCTATGTGGAATAAACAAAGGAAGGGGGAAAAAAGGAAGGAATGAAGTGCAGGGTGGGGTCAGGTGATGACCTCAAACAAGGTGGAGGGGCTTCCACTGGACCCTCTGTGCAGTGGGACCCTTATGTGTTCCAGGTAAGAGAAGTGCCTTGAAGTCAGGGAGGGGAGCTCACTGCCACCTCCGAAGAACCCCATTACCCAAGCCACTTCCCTCCTTCCACCCCATCTTCGTCCCAACCTCCTGTGTCCCCGACCCCCTCGTCATGTGTGGCTGAGACACCAGGGCTAAGATGAGAATGACAGCTGCCCAGTTTTGCTGCAGGAAAACCCGTATTTAATGCTGAAGGGAAACCACCAGGAGATGGAAGGCAATGACCGCTACGAGGGCTTCTGCGTGGACATGCTCAAGGAGCTGGCAGAGATCCTCCGGTTCAACTACAAGATCCGCCTGGTCGGGGATGGCGTGTACGGCGTGCCCGAGGCCAATGGCACCTGGACGGGAATGGTCGGGGAGCTGATCGCTCGGGTAAGGAAAGAACAGGTGATTTGGATTTGGGGGTGGGCTGGGGAGGCAGCTGGAAGGACAGGAGGTTGTGCTGTATCCTCATGAATCCTCCATTTATTAGTCAGTCGGTCATGCAGTTTTCATTTATTTGTCCATTCATTGCACAAATCTTTCCTGAGCTGGCAACGAGCCAGACACTGGGAATATACATTGGCGAATAAGACCACCTTGATCCCTGCCCTGTGGCTCTCCCGGTCAGTGTCCAGCACCTGTAACAGGTAACGGAGGCCTTGATCGCTGAACGCAGCTTAGAGAGTTGGGGTTCCATTCTTGGATAATCCAGGTGCTTTCTGTTTGTTCTGATGATTTTTTTGGTCATCAGCACCTTTGGCAGAGCTTGGACACGCCCTGGGAGAGTAGAACACACCCACATCCATTGACTTTGACCCTTGAGAAGCACTCTCGAGGAGACATGGTTAAATAACAGGGGAAAAGGGATCACCTGTCAGAGGAGTTGGTCACAGTTATGGCTATTTCGTTACTTCTTGTATTATGTTCTGCTCTCCTTAATGTGCTTTTACAGACCCAGGGCCAAGGTGCACTTGGGCAGACTGTAGATTTTCAGGGTGAATGCGGGGAGACTCAATTAAAACGCAGGTGAGCGTCATAGAGCGTCAGTCGTCGTTAGGTTAGAGCAAGGCTATAGAAAGTTCTTCCGGGGGCAGAGCTCTTGTTTTCTTGGTATATACTGTTAACATCTGTAAAAATTAATTTGGTTGTTACTCATTCACTGTCCATATTTCCATAACTGAGTTTTTCTGCTCAGGAAAGGTGATGGGTATCCGATGTGGAGAGCACAGACCTAGGTTCTTATGGGTTGGTTCTTGAACCAGTACATACCTCTCCGTGCTTTCCGAGTGCAGAAGGAGCCCCTGCAGCCTCCCAGCCAGTGCCAAAGTGCAGGGTGCTTTACATACGTTATCTCTAATCCTCTGGGAATGTACCTTTTAGTTAGCTGTTATCCTCATTTTACAAATGCGCCACCTGAACTCAGAGAGCTTAAATGACTTGTCTAAAGCCACACAGCTAGGGTGAGACGGGGCTGGGATTTGAACCCAGATTTGTCTAACTCCAGAACCCACATTCTTCCCACCTAAGAACACGACCTCAGCTGGAGTGGGATGTCACCAAGAAAGGTCTGCATAAGTCTAGGCCCTTCCTTCTCTCCTTCCTTTTTATCCTCCCTCCCTTTCACTCTTGCTTGCTTTTTTCTTTCCTTCCTTCTTTTCTCCCTCCTCTTTATCCATTGAATTAAGATGATCTTAACCCTTTATATGTACCAAACTTGGGGTAAAATATACATTTTTTAAATCCTAGTCTTGAAGGATAAAAGTGTTAGGGTATTAAATAAGTAATCGTTGGCAATGCATGATGAAAAGTTCTGTATAGACAAGAGCATGGAGAAGGTAATTGAGAGCCGAGGTGGGACAGTGGTGAGGAGTTTGCCTGACAGCATTTGCAGTGACCCAGCGGGGTCAGCGGCAAGACTTGTTCAGCGAGACGGTGAACTGTCCAGTTGCTAGAGTCCAGAGGGAGGCTTTGCTGTCAGGGAGAGGCTTGCAAACAATCAACAGAAGGTTGCAGAAGGCCCAGGGAGCCCTGGGAGCCTCTCACAGGGGCAGAGTGGGAGGGTGAAGACTTCTTCGGGGAGCTGTCTGCTGTCTTTGAGACTCAAGCCCCCAGCTGACGATGCCCACGCTTCCTTCCGCAGAAAAGGATGTGCTGCCTTTCTCAAAGTCCCAGAGCCCCTCCCGAAGCAGTCCTCTTGTTTGGATCCCCTGGTAGGGATGCAGTCCAGTGGTTAAACCCCAGAAAGCTGAAATGCTAGGCCTTTTCCTTCCCTTCATACCGACGTACTCTGTCACCTTGAGCCTGTTTCTTCAGCCCCCTTGGCCTTCCTGGTGATTGGTGGGGTGACTTCAGGGATGTCCGAGTCAGTGCACAGCCATCCCCTTATCAACTCCCAAATGAGCTGCGACGTGGACTGGCAGGAAGAGGAGAGGAATCCAAGACTCAAGGACATGCAGCTTCGTACTGAATGACTTGGGCAATCAGCCTGGATCTTAAAATTCACTCCAGGTCGGCTTTCAAGTCAAAACACTGCTGCTGGGCTTCCCTGGTGGCGCACTGGTTGAGAGTCCGCCTGCCGATGCAGGGGACACGGGTTCGTGCCCCGGTCCGGGAAGACCCCACATGCCGCGGGGCGGCTGGGCCCGTGAGCCATGGCCGCTGAGCCTGCGCGTCCGGAGCCTGTGCTCCGCAACGGGAGAGGCCACAACAGTGAGGGGCCCGCGTACCACAAAAAAAAAAAAAAAAAAAAAAAAACACTGCTGCTTTGGTCGCGTCAAGACTTGACTGAGTAGCATTAATTAATTAACTAATTAACCCATTCGTTCGATACAGATCCATCGAACGCTTTCCTCTTTCCTCGACAATGGAGATACAATGGGGGACAAAATAAACGTACTCACTACCCTCATGAATCTTACTAGCGAGAGACAGATATTAATGAATGAGCACAGTAGGATGTTATTAACACACTGTGTTAAGTACAAAGAAAGGGGAGGTAGAGGAGCTATGAGAGGGTACCTGGGGGGAAGGGGTCCAGCCTTGAGAGGCAAGGGGACAGGGGAGGGAAGGCTTCCCTTGGGAAATGATGTTTGAGCTGATGTGTGAAGAATGAGAAGAGCGTTTCTGCCAGAAGGTCGTCTGAATGCCACGGAGTGGGGGCTTATTCTGGGCAGGAGTGTGTGACCCCAGCCCTGCTCTGCCCCGGGGTTCAACACTTTGATGTGTCTGCCCCAGTGCTCCCCTAGGATCACAATAGTCCTAAAGCCTGCATCCTTCCTGTATGACCCCTTCCCCAAGCTGCACAGGAACAAGTCAGAGGTTGTAACAGTAGAGCCTTGGGGCTACTTGATGTCCCAAGTGGAAGAGACCTCAGAGGTCACTGCACCTAAATCTGTCACTTATACAGATGAGGAAATACAGGCTCAGAGAGCTTAAGTAACCTGCCAAAGATCGCACAGCTGGTGAGTTTGGAGCCAGCATTTAAGGCCTTGTCTGACTTCAGTGCTCGTGGTCTGAGAGCGTGAATCTTGCAGTTAGACCTAACATCAATTCACCCCCTTACTAGCTGGGTGTTCTTAGGCAACTTATTTTAGCCTTTCCACTCCATCCCCCAAGGCTTCAGTGTTTATCTAGAAAGAATTCTTGTAAGGATTTAAAATAACATACACGTGAGTATGCACACATGCATAGAAAGTTTGACATACAGGAATGTCTTTTTTTTGGAGAGTTTGAGGAATGCAGTAGCTTCCTGGATGTTGGAGTGATGTGTAGTAAAGAGTAGAGGCCTGGGTCATCTCCACTGGGCGTTCTAGAGCCTCAGTCTTTCACATGCATTGTCACCTGCTTTTTTTTTTTTTAACATCTTTATTGGAGTATAATTGCTTTACAGTGGTGTGTTAGTTTCTGCTGTATAACAAAGTGAATCAGCTGTATGTACACGTATATCCCCATATCCCCTCCATTGTCACCTGCTTACCCAAGACCATTGCGGTTTGGACATGTGGCATGTTGGTTGCAGAAGAGCATTCAAGCATATTTACTGCTTATGTTTAGAAATCATCAGAACATGTCTTTTGGTGTAAACCGCATTAAAAGTAGGAGTGTGGCTGGAGTGAAAACAAGTGGATTCACATAAAATGGGCCAGGTGGCTGGCCTCTCACCCCCAGGGCTGTGTCTGGGCAGAGGGGAGACGAGAACCGTGTCTGTTTGGGAGCCTCTTGGGTTTGGATTTATATTGCCCCAGTCACATCCCTCATAGCTGAGCCCACAGCAGGCCTGCACGGAAGTGATGGTGTGTCTCGGTGGAGGTATGCTTGGCGGAGAGGAGATGGACCAGAGCAGCTTGAAGAAGCTGCCCCCAGAACAGCCTCAGCCTCCTCCGGGGTCACCCCAATAAATTTATTTAAAGTGACGGTTTAATTGAAATTGTTCAAGGCATTCAGATACAAAGTTCAACGAGGTAGTCCCTAGGTCACTATTTGACGGGGGACCAATTGGGTAGAAGCAGAGCGAGAAAGGCTAGGATGGGGAGGGATAGGGGATGGTGAGAGGACTGGAGGAGGGCCTCCTGACTCTGCTTGTGACGTGTAGGG